GGATGCCTGCTCAGGTGCAAGCAGGAGAATGCTCTGGTGCAAGCAGGAGAATGCTCTGGTGCAAGCAGGAGAATGCTCTGGTGCAAGCAGGAGAATGCTCTGGTGCAAGCAGGAGAATGCTCTGGTGCAAGCACGAGAATGCTCTGGTGCAAGCACGAGAATGCTCTGGTGCAAGCACGAGAATGCTCTGGTGCAAGCACGAGAATGCTCTGGTGCAAGCACGAGAATGCTCTGGTGCAAGCACGAGAATGCTCTGGTGCAAGCACGAGAATGCTCTGGTGCAAGCACGAGAATGCTCTGGTGCAAGCACGAGAATGCTCTGGTGCAAGCACGAGAATGCTCTGGTGCAAGCACGAGAATGCTCTGGTGCAAGCACGAGAATGCTCTGGTGCAAGCACGAGAATGCTCTGGTGCAAGCACGAGAATGCTCTGGTGCGGACTGGAGTGCATACAAGCAGATGGAAGGGGACGAGAGGTGGGGAGGGGAGGGGAGGGGGAGAGTGGCGGAATGGCTAGGGTTATTTGAAGGGGATTTCGAAGGGGGTAAGAGCAGTTCAGAATGGTAGTTAGGTGAACCTGGGGTACATGGGAAGTGCAGGAAGTGGTACGGATAGGGGATGGATGGAAGCGAGGCCAGCGATGCCCTCTGTGGCTATGGAACTGACAAGTGCACCTCGTAAGGCGCCTCGCAACTAGACCTCGTAAGGTGCCTCGCATAAAGAATGCATGCACTGGCCCCTCCCAACAATGTTGTCCAAACGGACATGAGGATTCGCGGATTTCGCATAAGGCTGACTGGAGCCCGGCAGGGGGGTTTGGTTGGCCACAAGCACGCAGATGGAGAGAAGCACTGCGATGCGATGCGGCTTGCAGAGTGGGTGGCAGCCAGCCATGCCCACACCACTTCAACCTCCACTCCTCCCTCCCCTCACCCCACCCCGCTCCCCCCTTCTCCCCCATACTCCAAAGGCACTCTGCTCCAACCAACGGACAGTCACGTGGCGGCAGCACGAGCCCCGGCACGCGGCAGAGAGCATACAGGGAGTGCAGGTTGAGGAGGCTTCCGATCCCCGGGGGAATTGGCCCAGCCAGCTGGTTGTCGCCCAAGGACCTGGTTGCAGAGGGCGGTGCATGGTGGTGATGGATGCGGGGGATGATGGGAAAGGGCCACGGCATGCAGCACAGGAATGGCGAGGAGCACTTGGTGGACAGGGCGACACACATGCAGAGCCACACACACGGGGAGCCACACACACATGTGTGTGAGCACGAATTTGGGTGGTTCAAGCTGTTTTTTGCAAGCGTCAGATCGATTCTGGGGACAAGGCAGACGGCGAACCATCATTGGGTGGTGGAATGGTGTCACTGGCACCTTCACACAGACAATTGCACTCCCGATAGGGGTTCCAGCAACACGGCACAGCACCCCATGAGAGCTGCTTACACATGGCGCAGAGCAGTGAGCAGCGTGATGCTGTTGGGAATGGAGCCGCTCAACGTTGCGTTCCACAGCGCCCTGTGGAAGCAGCCACAGACAGACAGCCCCACCGGCCCCGGGTATGGGAGAAGAGGAAGGGCTGGGCGATGGGAAGTGCATGCTGGGCGGGAGGGCAGCACATGGGCACACGCCATGGGCGGTGGTGAGTGAAGCAAGAGCTGAGATGACGAGGAGACGACAACCCTGGGGTGCATGCTCTGGTGCGCCACAGGAGGGTCCTTTGCAGGGAGCAACAGGCACGCTGCCCCGCCATTACCGTTGCTCCCCTGCGTTGCATGGACTCGCCTGGGGAATCATCTATGATGCATGGCGCTCGAGCAGTGTGGCGCCTCACAGGGATTGCAGGTTGACGGCGCGCTTGATGGAGTCAGGGATACTTCCATCCAAGTGGTTCCCTGTGAGTGCCCTGCGTGCCCAGTTGAGATGAGAAGCAAGGAAGCATGGGATGAGGTGAGAGAGAACAGCGCATCAGCACATCAGAACAGCGCATCAGCACGTCAGAACACCGCATCAGCACGTCAGAACACCGCATCAGCACGTCAGAACAGCGCATCACCACGTCAGAACAGCGCATCAGCACGTCAGAACACCGCATCAGCACGTCAGAACAGCGCATCGGCACCTCAGAACAGCGGATCAGCACCTCAGAACAGCGCATCAGCACGTCAGAACAGCGCAACAGTCACAACCACTGTGCAAGATATGAAGCGCACATCTGGTGCTGCACTCCATTCCATGCACTCTCTCAGCACAGCTACCTCCATTCTCAACCTAAGTGGGCAAATTCGTTGGGGTCCCCCAGCGTTTTGCGTAAATTCGTTAGAGTAAATTCGCGTTTGCGAATTTCCCTGAAATTCGCGAAACGCTGGGGGATTTTTTTCCGGGCAGCCCGGACAAAAAAATGCGAATTTCCCCACTCGATTTGCGACGACTTGGCGAAGCTATCCGTGGCCTCGCCAATTCGCGATTCTAACTTTTGAACCTCCAAACATGCTCCCACCCCTCCCACTCTCCCAACCGCATCAAACCCCACCGCATCTAGATATCCCAACCCATCACCACCCAACACAACTTACGCAACCATATCACGCATCTCACACGCTACTCTACCAGATGTAGAGTAGATCTAGCTAATCACTCCGCGTCCTAGCTAGTAGATCTAGTAGCTTACCGCATAGATATTAGCTTACCTCACAAGTATGATGTTGCTGTATGTTGCTGCAGGGCTGTTGTTGCGAAGGATCCCCCCCAAACTCTAGACTAGAATATGCTATGGCCATAAGCTTTGAGAAGCAATATTTATTTTGTGCTAAACCTTTCTTGCTTAAAAAGAGTTGCCCTGAAACCCCCCACGCCCCCGCTGCCTGGGTTTCTTTTTTGGGCCTGCCCGGGCATTGTTTTCCTGCCCGGGCGGAACGAATTTCCCAACGAATTCAAAACAGGGCCCTGGCGTTCGGGCGAATTTACGCCAGCGTAAATTCGTCAGCGAATTTACGCGAAACGCGAATTTTCCCACTTAGTTCTCAACTACACCCAGAGTGCTTGCCACTCCCTTCGATTCCTGCTCATGCCACCACGAACCCCCTCCACCGCGAACCCCGTCCACGCATCTTACAGGTTGACTAAGCGAACGAGGTTTCCAATTCCAACTGGAATGGGCCCGGTGAGCTCATTGTAGCGCAGATCCCTGATAGCGGAGGGCCATGGGTCAACACAAAGTGTGAGATGTGAGTAGTGTGAGACATGAGTAGTGTGAAACATGAGTAGGGCGGATTTGCTTAACAGATGCACATTGCTGCAGAGGAGCGGGGATGTGAGCATGCAGAACAGCAGCTGAGCAGCACACAGGTCGGCGTAACACGCATGTGGATCAACACACATGGGGATCAACACATATGTGGAGCAACACGCAAGAGGAGCAACACGCAAGTGGAGCAACACGCAGGCACAAACATCGAGCACGTGGCTGCTGTGGATTGCAAGTGGCTCTCAGGCAACCTTCACAGCTCCTGCTTGTGGGCCTTGGACCTGGTGGGCCTTGGACCTGGTGGGCCTTGGACCTGGTGGGCCTTGGACCTGGTGGGCCTTGGACCTGGTGGGCCTTGGACCTGGTGGGCCTTGGACCTGGTGGGCCTTGGACCTGGTGGGCCTTGGACCTGGTGGGCCTTGGACCTGGTGGGCCTTGGGACCTGGTGGGCCTTGGACCTGGTGGGCCTTGGACCTGGTGGGCCTTGGACCTGGTGGGCCTTGGACCTGGTGGGCCTTGGACCTGGTGGGCCTTGGACCTGGTGGGCCTTGGACCTGGTGGGCCTTGGACCTGGTGGGCCTTGGGCCTGGTGGGCCTTGGGCCTGGTGGGCCTTGGACCTGGTGGGCCTTGGACCTGGTGGGCCTTGGACCTGGTGGGCCTTGGACCTGGTAGGCCTTGGACCTGGTGAGCCTTGGACCTGGTGGGCCTTGGACCTGGTGGGCCTTGGACCTGGTGGTGAACCAGGACCAAGGGGAGGTACCCATCACAGGTCTTGTCTTGGGCATTGGTGTAACTTGGCAAGCTAGGGCGAGCAACAGGAGTGTGTCGTGATTCAGGAAACATGGTGGCGCATGATGTGGTCTCATGCGAGCTCCTTACAGGCTGGTGAGAGCCGTGAGCGAGGTGATGCTGCTGGGAATGGATCCAGCCATTGACAGCCCCCAAGGTCCCCTGTGTGGCGTGATATGGATACGAGGACAGGTGGGGACACGGGAGCAGAGCATATGGAAGAAGGGGCAGAAAATCGAGCGGTGAGATGCGGACTGGGAGCGGACGGGATGAGCTGCAGCAGGGGAGAATGCCCCTCTGCCTTTCGCTGCTCTCACGCTGCATGCGGACAAGGCGGCAAAGGTACTTCACGCCAGCCTGTGGGGAAGTGACGTCAGCCTGTGCAATGGCGTCAGCCTGTGCCATGGCGTCAGCGTTGAGCAGCGGCCCACGGCGGGCTGGGCTCGGGCCGCCCGTCTCCAATTCTCGGCCTGTCGCGGGCCGGTCCGTTGCAGTGGTGTCTAGCTTGAATGGGTTCGGCGCCTGCAGGTTGGGGGTTCGTGGTACCACCCCCACATCGCAAAAAGTGTCACGTTCGCAAAACGTTTACGCCATTTTGGGCGAAGCACAAAGTTGGAGATCATCCGCAAAGTGTTCGCCAAGTATTTGTTAATCGTTTCGATTCATGTGAACGGTTTGCGAGTGTTGCGCGGTTGAGATGTTTTGCGGATGCATTGTTGTGGAAAGGTTACAAAATACTGCATTGTTGTATTTGCGTAACTTAAAGACTCATTAAAGTGTTAATTTTCACCATGGTTATTGTATAGAAATGGTGAAATGGTTTTTGCATTGCATTGTCTGTCTTTCACAGTGCAGCAGCAATTGATGGCACGGAGTCTAGCATGCTCGTGCAAAATCGTCGGAAGTGCGATTGTTAGCACATACTTATGGTAGTCGTAATGAATGTAATTTATAAAGTCAGGGTGGCAGGGGACACGTGCATGTCGAGTCAGAAGAGAAAACGGTTAACAAGCCGGTACTCAGGCTCTGTGCAGCTTGGGACTACATGGGCAAGGCTTAGGATGCAATCCATGTCAATGACAGCGTAGTTGTCGATGCCCGTCGTTGGGCTCAGGCGCTTGCACCCGGTGTCCGGGCATGGCCGCGGGTGCTCGGTGTAGTACTGAATGTAGGCGGCACGACCCTCCACACCTGCATCGTCAAGGTAGTGGAACAGCACGAGGGCCCGGCCGTACCACGGTGGGCCGACTCCATCTGCGGGCTTGATAGAGACGTCAGAGAAGAGCCACTCATGCGGGGTCGCCTTCACAAACTGTCCCTTGGCCGTCCACTCCATGCGGTCGTGGGGGGGGATGGCCATGGCCGTGTGCACCTGCATGCACTCGGGTAAGAGTGGCATGGACGGGCGGAACAGCAAGGCGGGATTAGGGAGTGGAGGTTGGGGGGACATGCGGTGAAGGGCTCAGCGGAAATGAGGGTAATGCACATGCGATGGGGGTGTTGGGAGGGAGGGGTGGGGGGGGATGAGATAAAGCAGTACGCGAAAGGGTTTCGGTCAGGGTCGAGACCGCCATAGTTCTTAACTAGACGGGTTAAGAGGGCTCAGTTCATGGAATCATGAACACCAGCACCTCCCACAAGTGTGGCTTGCAAGTTCATAGGAGCGTAGAGGAGGCAGATGGGGAGTTGGGATGGTTAAGCACTTACCCAGACAGTGAGCGTCGTGATGTTGGCGAGGTCCATCTTGTTTGCCATCTCTCGCATCGCCTCCACGCCAGCAGTACGTATGTAGGACACGAAAACGGTGTCCAGCTGGTCCCCCACCACCATGCGCCTGCAAGTCTTCGTCATGACCCTCTTGCCAAGGAGGGCCGCCTGTGGGGGACGGTGTTGGGTACACGGGGTGGTTAGGGCGTTTGGGAGGGTCGGGGTGGGTTAAAAGACAACCCGAAGGGGAAGGGGAGGATGGGAGTGGGGAAGGGGGAATCCTATGAGGTGATAAGGCAGACAAGAGATGTGTAGGGTGAATGCATGGAAGAAGGATGGCTGGTGGGAGAGTGGAGGGCTGATTTCCAAGATCGGGGATAAAGTATGGGGATGAGGGAGTGTGCTGTCAGGGAGTGGGGAAGGGTGATGCCAGGGAGGGGTAACAGCAGTGGGGGGTGGGTGAAACACAAGGGGGTGGAGGGCAGATGGGGTTGGGGGAGGGTGAAATCAAGGACGGCGAGAGGCAGATGTGAGTGGGGAACTCCTACTGAATACAAGGTCGACAGCCCCAAAGGTGGGGTGGAGGAGTGGGGGCGAGAGGGAGGGGGGGAGGGAGGGAAGGGAAGGGAAGGGGGGGAAAATGGGGGTACGGGAGAAGGGGGCATACCTGCTTCATTGCCGTCTCATAGGTGGCGTCGCCTCCCACCTCCCTCGTCAGTTGCCGCACGACCGCATGCTGAATGTGCTTCTTCACAATCCTCTGGTCGACATTCTTCCAGTTCGAGCCCCGGGAGGGCCGCTTGACAGTGGTCTTGTGGGCGTGCTCGTAGGAGTTGCTGGAGTACTCGTGGGGGAGCCCACGTGCCTTGATCGTCTCGGAGAGGTGGCAGATGTCATGGATCTTGACAATCCCCCACCCCGACTTCTGGTTGTCGAATGCCGTGCCTAGGGAGTCGACCATGCTATGCGGTGCAGACGGGCAGATAATGGGTCATGGGGGATTGGGGGTGGGGGAAGTTGGGGGTGGGTGGGCGGGTTTGGAGGAGGTGTGATACTCATAAAGGTGCACAACAAAGGCACGGCAGGGGGGGCTTCCGCGGATGTAAGGGGGGACCAAGCTTCGAGGGAGTGGGGAGTGGGTGCACGTAAGCAAGGTGAACGTACTCCTTGCCGTCGCTCGTCAGCTTCACTAGCGACTCGTCGGTGTGGTACTCCGCACGGATGTGCTCCTTGTACCATGTCACCATGCGCACGACCGCCTCCCGCTGTGGCTCCCGGTTGTCGAGGATGAGGATGAGGGGAAGCACTTGCATCATCGCACGGTGCTCAGACGCCGCGAACCCGGCGGTCGTGGAAAAGTACATCCACCCGCCGGGCAGACGCAGAAGGAAGGACGGCGTCACTGCCTTGATAGCGGAGTATCGGCTGGGGGGGGGGGGTGGGGAGCACAAGGAAAGTTTGGGGGGAGGGCGAAAGACAAGGGAGGCAGGGGACATGTGGAAGGACGTCACGGACTACAAGGACCAGTATGAGTTGGAGAAAATAAGAGGCAACACACAGCGGGTGAAGCAGCAACTCACTTGAGCAGGATGCCGCGCTCCGATGGAGTGAGCTTAGCGACCAGGCACTTCATGGCATGCAGCCACCACCCTTGCTCTATCATGTGCATGATGCATGGAGGGAGTGCTAGGTAGATGTTCCCCCACAGCGTCGTGGAGAACTCCCACTCCCACAACGCGCACTGGGGATTACCCATGAGGCGGGCACACGTGGCGGGTCGTGATTAGGGTTAGTTTGGGGTGGGTGGAGGGGTGGGGACGCGTTGGCATAGCCCGTGGGGAAAGGGGGGGGGGGGGGAGAAGGGCGGGACATGAGAGGACGGTCCTGGGTTAAGGGGGGGTGCATGAACAAACGGGACAGCAGAGTCCGATGGACACGGCTTTGGGTCTGGGAAAAGATACGTGGCGGCTGAGAGCAAGGACAGGGGGGGGGAAAGGTGGGAGAGCGAGCACTCGAGAAGGGCCGTGTGTGCGGTAGATGAGAGAGGAGGGACACGGAGTAGGGCAGAGGCAACGACGGTGGGGATGTGTCAAAGGGAGTCGTGGCCACAGCGGGGGGGCGGACATAGGCGGTTAACGGGGGGAGAGGGAAAGGGGGGGCGGGGGTGGGGCCTTGTGGTGCATCGCAAATCGAAGAAACACGTTAGCCAGCAAGTTGTAACTTCTCTGAAATATTCCATTAAACATGAGAGGTACAACATGCAGACGCTAAGGCTTCGTTCGCACAGGACATCGTGCAGAGCAACCCTTGGATTCTCGCCAAACAGAGGATCTTTCACTGGATCCCCCCTGCACCATCACCGGGCAAACAGGGAGGCGGACCCGAGAAGGCCAATCACGGAGGTACTCTACCGGCGGCTGCCCCAGTGCCGGCCATGGCACACGCAAGTCCCTCTCGGTGAACGGTGGACGGAACAACATGTAGCAGTTGGGCCAGGGGAAATCCAGGGGATGCGCTGGGTGGGATAGATAGTACCACCGGCGACACACGGCCTGCTGACGCACGAATGGTTTGAGGTCGGGCTTGATGTCTGGCCAATCCCGGCCGTTCTCCCAAAGACCAGTCCGAAGAATTTCGAAGATTTTAAGCCACACATCGTCAGGTAGGTAGGGAAGCTCGCGGGATGGTCCACGCCTGCCATCGTCTGCCATGGTTCAGCGCACAACTATTGGCAAAAGCACGGATGCGACGTACCGCTAGTGCCTTGCGCGGGAGAGTGAGTTGTCGAGAAGGGACGGCAAGGGTACGGGGACTTGCATGAGCAGCGCGGGCTCACTAATCGGCGAGTACGCGAGTGGCCGTGATGGGGGGCGTTTGCCGTGATGGGGGGCGTTTGCCGTTACAGTGTGCGACTGGCAAATCAACATGCGGTGCACCTCGGCGGTACGCCGTACCGCGCGCGCAAGGGAAACGACACCGATAATGGAACAATGTTCAAATGGAATGCCGTAGAACGAGCAACGTTGAGCCAGATGCAATGATTAAAAGACACTAACCCGTCCAGCGGGCTAAGGGCAATACGCGGCCGCGAAGTGACAAGAGACAGTGACCCGTCGATCGGGCTGGGGGAAATATGCGGCGTGCATGCAGGACAAGAAGTTGACGTTAGATGTGACAATCTTAGAACGCTTCCCTAAGTGTTCAAAAAACAATTCCCTAAACGCTTCGCAAAATGTATGAAAAACCTTTCCGCAAACACTTTGCGAACGTTTCAAATGCGTTACGACTTCCATAACGTTCCGATCACCAACACCCCCCATCTCCCGCGAAAGAGGCAGAACCAGAACCCTCCCACTTACTGGCACGGCGTGCGTCGAGTACTTCGACTTGAGGGCAGCCAGGGCGCTTGGCGTCTCCACCTGCTCTGAGCGTTTCAGAAGCCTGTACACCGCCTTCTGGCCCTTGACGGTACGATTCAGAGTTGTCGAGAAGATTTTCTTCAGGTTGTTCTGCTCCACTAGACACATGGAGCATGGACGGAACGACTGGCACTGCATGGTGCACGAGACCTTGGAGGACTCGGGGTGGTCAGTGACGTAGGCGTACAGCACCGGAAACCCCATCGCGTGGTTTCCCGCGTGATCCTCTAACAGCAGCCCGCCGCTGAGGGAAGTTCCAGTAGGATGGGGGGTGGGGGGGAAGGTGAGGAAGAGGGAGGGGGGGTGGTGGGCTGAGAGAGTGAGGATCGATGGCGCCGGGATGCGGATGCGTCGTGATACCGGCACAGGAGAGGGTAAGGGTGGGGTGTAGTGGCAACCGCGGGAAGAACCGCAACGCAGTGATGGCTCACCCACTAAGCTTGGACTTTTCGATTATGGGGCTCGCCAGGACAGCAAGGCCGGCCTGGAATGCCTTGCACTTCTCCTCAGGCGACAAGTCGGCGGGGATGGTTGGGAAGTTACCGAGCATCTCGGTGCCGTCCTCGCCCCACCGAGCCCACTCGGGCGTGTTGGAGAGAGCCAGCAGCGCGGGATGGGCAGTTTTCCTGCCGTTGTTGGAGAGGTTCGTCGCATCGCTGAAGAGAATGATGCCGAGGGGGAACCCACGGTCCCCTATGTGCTCCTACGTTATTCAACACACCATTAAACACGGTTTAGATAATGCGGTCCCAGAGGGTGGAGAGCAGAGTACAGATGTCGGCCGAAAGATGCAGCACGCGGAAGACGGAAACCATATGGGTCACTGAACATGCCTGTATCGTGCGAGTACCTGTGCTTTGAGCATGAAGTCCGTGTTCATGGGCGTGCTGTATCGACGCACCCCGTCCACCTTCCACTCTTCCGCGCGATGCAGGAAGCCCGAGACGGCCGACTGCCGCTTGTACAAGGCTTCCAACACCTACAATGGTGGGAAAAACAGAGTTACAAACCAATAAGTGTCCATGGCATGCGCTATTTACACAGTGGAACCAACATGTGCTGGATTGGTGTTGAAGCTACAAGGTTTCTCGCAGGCTTGTGTGTGCTACCTTTAGTACCCTACGATGTCGGAAGACGAGGAACCCAACCTCATGGTCCACAGGGATCTCGGTCTCCAGCCACTCATTCTCTTCGCCGACCTCGAACTCCTCCTCGTACTTCTCAAGATCCCGAT